CAGCAAAAGGCTATTCATAGATCAGCAGGTTGTCCAATAAGTTATATAATTTATAGACCGTCAGGTTGTCACAGCAAACTATTTAATTTAAAGAAATAACGGGATGTCGCAACAAATTATTTATAGAACAGTGGAGTTTCACAGACTATTTAACTTGTATACCCTAGAACAGAGGAGTGTCACGGCAAGCTATTTATAGAAACATGGTGGGTAACTCCACACGACGTTACTCTAAGAGCGGCCAGTTTCAAAGGGTTTTTTTTTGTTTTGTTTTCTTTAAGGGGGGGGGGGGTATTCAGCCAGCACCTACTTCCGCAACCTTTAAGAGGCTTACATTTTCCTATCGTCCACCAACATAATCTCCAACTGGGGTATTTAATGACGCTAGCTACTTCTATCCGGGAGCTCCCCACCACATACCTGAACAACCAAATAGGTCATTAGAGGGGCATGTCGCGCACATTAGCAAGCACTGGTCTAGCTACGTCATTGAAAGGGGGCGAGATACGGGGAACACGCTCAAACGTATACCCCTTATAATGACGTCATTGTAAGGGTTTTTTTTTTTTTTAAAATAACGTGAGGTATCGGGCGTAGAAAGGCGGAAGAGGATGGGACGGGTGGAAACTGTGAGGTTAGGGGTAGGACCGGGGGGAGGGGGTCGGGGTGAAGGGGAGGGGATGGGGAGGAGGAGGAGGGGGTTGAGGGAAGGGTGAAAGACGATGAAGATTAGGGGAAGGAGGAGGAAAGAGAAAGGTGTTTGTGGGAAGAGTATGTTTCTAACAACCTATCTAAACAGAAGGTAGTCAAAACCTGTGTGGTGGTGTTTGGTAACTGGTGTCAAGAAAGAGAAAACTGCAGCATTTAGCGAGTTTAAACTTGCAGTTGTTTTTTTTTTAAACTTACGTAAAAAATATCCCCATCTTGCATCTTGTGCAACGTTATCTTATCGTTCAGATTCAATAATCAAAACTAGGTTTAAATTACTTTCAAAACAATGTATAGGGTATATAGAAGTGGACAGGAAAAAATACAAACTGACCCAGACAGTCGAGACCAAAATTAGTGATTCTTTCATGCTTGAACACATTACACTTAATCTTTATTTAGTCGGATTTATTCTAATTACTGCTATTCTTCATTCCTAAATTATGAAGATTATATAATGGGGCTTCAAGTTCAAGACAATGTGTTTTTCTTGGAAACACCTTCATTTATTTTATTTTTAAGGGAGACCTCAAATATCAACTTTACAATGTTGCAAGGGTGTCTCTTGGGGTTGTTGGGGTTTTTTGGGGGGTGGAGCTGCTTTTTGTTTTGTTTTTGTTTGTTTTTTCGTTGGGTTATTTTTCCAACTTCAGTTCAACACCATTTTCTCATACATTGGAGAAATGTGAGCATTAAACTTTTGGTAATTTTGTTTTGTGCAATTCACGCCTTTAGAAATATTGTAGAACATTTTAAAAAAGTGTAAGTCAAAAAATCTTTAGATGTTTGTATATTAACTCCTCATATACAGAATTCGATGTTATTTTTTTGTTTGTAATTTTTAAATATTTTTTTTGGTGGCTTTTTTGCTTTTTGTGAATTGTTAATTATTTGGAATGCATAATCTAAATAAACTTGTATTTCTAATTTACTATCGTTTGATTACTTAGGTTTTGACTACCTAAAAATAGATAGATCAATACACAGGCAGACAATTAGGCAGACATATAGATAGATAGATAGATAGATAGATAGATAGATAGATAGATAGATAGATAGATAGATAGAGACAGACAGAGACAGACAGAGACAGAGACAGATAGAGACAGACAGCCAGAAAGACAGATAGACAGACAGACAGACAGACAGACAGAGACAGACAGACAGACAGCCAGAAAGACACTCAGACAGACAGACAGACAGACAGACAGACAGACAGACAGACAGACAGACAGACAG